AAAATGTTAGGAAAAAATCAGCTGTAAAAGTGTTTACTACGTTTTGAAGTCATCTGTCCGTGGTTTAAAAAAAAGACTATATACAAACTCATGGACAAAAATAGGACTAGTTTTAAAAAAAAGACATATATGACTTCTATACCCTCTCTGGTTACAATTACACTGCCCCAGACAGTTACACTTACATGACCTGATTAATTATAGTTATATGAACTAACCAATTACAGTTATCCGGCCCGATTAGTTACAGCTACTCGACCCGTCCAATTACAGTTACTCGACTCGTCCAGTTACAGTTACAAAGTCCAACAAGTTATAGTTACTTGCCCGACCATTTAATATGAATTTATGGAACATTTTGTATCATAATACACTACAGGGTCGTAGGGATCGTTCGATCAACCAACAGGAATTTGGGTATCCTTTTTTAATTATGGATGTTTGTCTATTTTGTAATGTTTAGTCTTATTTTTGTCCAAGTTTAAAACTGGTCCCATTTTTGTCAATGTAGTAGTAGAATTAGTTTTGCCATTGTTTCTTAGAAATATTATCAAATTATCCAAATTCGCATCTTTTATTTTGTATTATGATGTATTTTTGTGCTATACATGTACACTTTTTATTAGTATATTCTGGTACACATTTGTGACAATATATTCATTAAAAAACATAATTACTAAAACGCCAACACATTTCTAACTTAAAGTTTGATCTCATCCATCCATATATTTTTCACATCAATTATAAAGATTAGTTTTTATTTTTCACTTATGAAACACTTTTTATTTAAACTGAGCCCTATATATAGTGTTCGATTCGGATGAGGATAATTATCTCCCCCAAGAATGGGAATAATGCAAAACGCTGCATATTCCGGTTCTCTCTAAATATTGAATATACGAAAATGGATTGTTATTATAGAATCCCTGTGATATTATTCTTATGAATTTTGCAGACTTTTTATTGTAAAAAATCCTTCATGAATGTATGTCCCACTAAGTCTCTCCCTAATTAGTTTTACACTTCTAATGAAAAGTTTCCTGACTTAATTAGTCCCATGAACTTATGTTTAAGAGCATTACTAGTAATGTAATATTGCCTACTTTGACATCATGTTAAAAAATTACTCAAATGTACTCTGTAGTAGTTTGGCAAAAAAAAACCATTGGAAAAATTATCATCGATATGCAGTGAATAGTAGTATAGTACATTTTGGAGTAGTAAATTATATATTAGTATAACTATCTCAAATATCATAATTAAGTTTCATAAATATCTTAGAAAACGTTAAATATAACAGGGAAGACACTTCTGTATGCAATGTACTTTCACTAATAGAAAAATTTGTCAAAGTGTTCCATGCATACCGTTTTAATTTATATTACACATTTTATTTTAATTTATATAGGAAATGATATATATATATATATATATATATATTGGCAAAGTGTGATACAGACAGTTTTATATCACACATTTTCTTAGTCATTAAGAGAATTGAATCGTCATTGGATTACAAAATGCGTGATGCGACAATTTTTAGAGAAAGATTGAGAAATAGAGTTTGTGGAGATGATTTATCAAAACAGTCTAATAGAATTTGGATTATGTTGTGCTCCTAGCAGCAACGTGCAGACAATAGTGCATGTGCAACAAACATTTTACCCAAACAATGATTCAACCAATGCCATGTTCATTGTATTTCATATTTCAAGTTTTATTTCGTATCTCATGTTTTCTATTTTAATATATTAATGATTTGAACGCATGCCCCCCAAATAATTGAATTATTAGAGATGATGATTGAGAGGTTAGTAAATTTTGACATTATTTATAATGTTTGATGTGACAATTATTAGCATTGGGAAAGAAAACCCCCCTCATATTTCAGTATATATATAAAAAGATACTTTTGATTAGGTATTATAGACAACTATCTAAAATGTTTTCGTATGAGATACTTTGGCTGATACTCCCTCGGTTTTCAAAAGAAACTCACACTTTCCTTTTTGAAATGTTTCAAAAATAAAGTCACACTTCTCTTATTTCTTTATTTGGCAAAGAAGTCTACATCCAAACAGTGCCAAACAGTGTCCAAACAGTGTCTACACAGTGTTTTCTACGGTAAAGTCAATTTATTTCTTTAATAATCGTGAAGTCAAACCGTGACTTTCTTTTGGAAACGGATGGAGTATTTATATCGTACATGTGTAGAGTCTTTTAATATTTTATGGGTTTTTCTTAAATGAATATGAACTCTAACAACATTCATACATATGGAGTAGTTAAAATCATGCTCCTCTAAAAAAATAACTTTCTCACGGTCTTAGAATTGGTTTGATAACTCTCAAATTGGTTAAATCGGTAATTCTTATGAAACTTAAAATATTTTTTATTAATACAAGAAAGAAAAAATTATATGAAAAAATAAATAAAACAATGCTCTATAGTAACATCAAACAATACAGTCAGAAAAATAACTTCAAGCGGGAACTATCAAATAAGCCTTCGAACTTGCAAAAAAAAAATGCAAATCATCCCTTTAATAGGAGGCTCTATCCGGCCGTCGCCATTTGGGGCAGTTTCCGATGAAATTTTTTGATGAATTTTTTTGAGAATCTTCTTCATTAAGTCTAGTTTACCCATACCAAATTTCAGCTAAAACTTCATCTGAGAAGGCAGTCAAATGATTTTCTGAAATATACTGCGCTCTCTAACAACGCAGTTATCTTCAAAATTTCATTTGATTGACTTCCCGATTGAATTTTTAGCTGAAATTTAGTATGAGTAAACTAGACTTAATGAATAAGATGGTTAAAAAAAATTATCAAAAAATTCCACCAGAAACCACCCCAAATGACGACGGCCGGACAGAACATCCTATAAAAGGGCTGATTTGCACTTTTTTTGTAAGTTCGAGAGCTTATTTGACAATTCTCCCTAACTTCAATCTTACTTTTTCTTATTATTACACAATTCAGCGTGCGAGATAAAAAATTGCGTGTTTTATTAAAAAGATGACCAATAAGCCGAAAAAACATTGGACTTTCGAATTAGAAATACGTATACGGAGTATAAATATTGTTTGTACGTATCCTTTTTCGGATACATATAGCAGTGCAATAATATCAAATCTATAAGAAACCTCTGATAAGCAATGAGAAAATTGATCACAAATGAAGAAAGTGTGTTTGATAGCCTTGACAAGCTAAGAATGGCCTAATATAAAATGTTGTTCCATTCTAATTTAACTGTTCATATATGTGCCCTTCTCGCGGAGTCCCGTGTGAGTGGTACCCCTTAGTCCTTACTCCAAAATGATACGAAGTATGATGTTATTGTTGCATTTATTTGAGAAAACTTCATATCGCTTGCATTCTAAAGCCAGTGAAAAAAATGATTAGAGTAAATTAGAGTATGTTCTATTTAATTTAACTGTGCATTATTGATATAAATAGTTTATGTTTGGTATATATATGTAATTACATACATTATCAGTTTGTAAGTGTAATAGTGTTTGTCAATATAAAGGTTATATGTTTAGTGTAAATGATTTTTAAATAAGGTAAAATACGTTAAAAAGTGTAAGTGTGATATTATTTTGCATAAATGTTATATTTTTTATAGATAAAATAGTTATATGTTTGGAGTTGATGATTTTATAAAGAATGTAAATTACTTCAGAAAAATGTGTAAATGTAATATATTTATCGGATAATATTAGTTATACAAAAGAAGAAAAAGAAGAAGATGATGTTTAAGAAAAAGAAGAAGAAAAAGGAATGGAATTCATCTTCTTCTCCATTCCTCTCCCCTTCATATTCTTCCTCTTCAATATTGGGAAGAATGCTCTAATGATGTTCATAAATTTATAATGACAAGGTATTGTACAAAATGTGACTTCTTTTAAAAACGTTGCCACAATTTTTATTTCCAATAGTTTTTTAGTAGTAATAATATCCCCCAGGATGACATATGGTGGTTGTTGAAGCTTGTTTTGGTGATTACCAGAGTTCTAATGGCGGAGGACTGGCAATGGAGGTTTAAGAAATTCATTGACGGAACGACAGATAATCGCCGAAGTACTGATGGTGCTCGCTGGAGCAACGACGATGCTTACCAGAGTAACAGCAGTGGCGGTCACCAGAGTACCGACGTCGATGATATGGTTTACAATTAGAGTGATAACTTTTTATTTGAACATTAGGGTATTATTATTATTATTATTATTATTATTATTATTATTATTATTATTATTATGATCATTATCCGTCCATGCAATTTTACTCTTATTTACGTAAAAATGTTAATGAAAGGAATTTTATCAATTCATGACCTAAAAAATACTAGTAAGTTTACTATTAATAAGATGCCTGAATTAATAAAAAATAGCAATGGAATTAATCAAATGTTAAATAAATCAAATTTTGTTATATTTTCAATCATTCATGTCCTGTCTTTCTGACCCCTTATTAGTAATCAACCTTTCTTTCGAGACATGACTCATAAGTTGATAAAATTCCTAAATTAATGTACTAATAACATCTGCCGCTCAAAATAGTCAACAAAGAACGGTTAGAAATTAAAGATGGTTTCAATCTCAAACAGAGCATAGCAAAATAAATCAGACTTAAATAGACTAAACTTGACAAGACCAGATAAGATATCAACATTAATAAAATACACGCAAATCTTTGATGTAGTAGACCAATTCAAACCAATTGTCAAACATCAGGTGCACATACAAAGAAAATGTGGTAAATACAACTAGGAAGTAGAAAATGTAAACAGGGATTAAGACAATCGGAATGCTTTTTTGAAAACCTATAAGAAAATCTCCATGCCGGCCTCTATTATTATTATTATTAGCTTTAATAACTGTAAATTCTGTATTACTCTCCGTCTTGACCCGTCTATTTGGTAGCAGTCAAATAAAATGATTATTAAAACCATGCTTGGACAAAAAAGGAGTGAAAAGAATGTCCGATCTGAAGGTTCGGCCTCGCCTATATTACCTCTCCCGATTCCCTCCCACTTCTGAAACGGGTCGTTTCAACTTCCATGGGATTATGCTTATGGAATCACCAAATCACTTCGCTAAGTGCCTTTGAAACCGCGTCTTTTCAGCCTCTCGATCACTGCTTGATTTCCCCAAATCGCATTTCGCGCTTTTATGATCGGAATCTAGGGATTCCAGGTTATGCGTATCCCGGATACTCGCCGGATTTGACGGGATGACGACAGCGCGGCGTGCGATGGATTCGCCGGTCGCGAACCCGCGGCAGCCACTGTTGACGCAGCGGATGATGAGGGAGTGCGCGGGGGGCACCGCGGCGTGCGCGATGATCTGCTGCTGCTCCCCCATCGCCGTCATGCATTTCCTCGTGCTGGTGGTTTACAAGGTCCCGACGGGGCTGTGCCGGAAGGCGTGGCGGAAGAAGAAGAAGAAGCGGCTGATGAAGAAGACGATGATGATGATTGCGGCGACGCCGGAGGAGGAATCTCAGACCGCCGGGGAACTTGCGGGGAGCAACGGACGCCGCAGTTCCGGGACGACGTTCTCGGAGGAGCTCGCCGATGAGGTGGAGGAGGGGAGCGGTGGGGACGACGAAGACGACGGTTTCGAAACGGATATGTGGGATCGGTTCCGGGAAGGTGGTTTCTGGCGGAGCCCATTGGACAGGGAGGAGTGAGAATTGTTTTATTGTTGATTGTGACGCTTTCCATTTTGGGTTCCAATTTTTGCAGAATTTTCTTATTCTAGTGAATATATTCCAATTCCACCTTATGGTACATAAATACAAAGTCCCATATTGATTGTACCAATATACGAAATTCTGCAAATGGAGAAACAAAGGCTTCTTCTCAAATTCAAAAACAGAACAATACTTTATTTGTCTCAATGTACGGCTGCATTGATTATTTTTCTTTCGGAAATTCCCCCAAAACATTTTGTACTGGAGTAATGTCTCTTTTTCCCAATGCTAGTTCAAATAGAAATCAGTTTAAATAGGACTAAAACTATGCCAAAAACCTAAAATAGGACTTGCTATGTTTTTATTCCAAAATAGGACCATATGAGTCCTATTGGAAACATACCTATTTTTGCATTCCATTCTTACCCTTCCATTAAATATGAATTAAAAATAGTCAAGAGCCATAATTAAATGTTTAATTCATAATAAATTCGAAAAAGATTCAAAAATTCGTAGAAATATAATTAAATAATTTATAAAATTTTTATAAAATAAAAAATTCAAAAACTTTTTTTTAAAATAATTTTATTTTTTAAAAAATTAATAAAAAATAGTAAAACTCCGTAAAAAAAATTTAAAAAAATATGGATGCATTTCCCACCGCCTGTACTACCTCCCAGCACCACCACCTCCGGTCGATGAAAAAATGCCATTTTCCCAGAAAAATGCCATTTTTTTTCTGAAAATGCCAAAAAGATGGCATATTTCTCTTTTCGAATGCCAACATTTTCATTTTTTTCTGCCATAAATATGGCATTCGTAATGAACTTGGCATTTTTTCCCCCTGGTGACTGGAGGTGGTGGTGCTGAGGCGGCAGAGGCGGCGGCGATTTTTTTTTGAGTTTTTATTTTTTTTTTATTTTTTTTTTAATTTTTTTATTTTTTTGAAAAAAAAAATTAATTAAATTTTTAATATCGAAATGTTTTTCTTAATTTTTTAGTATTTTTTACGAATTTTTATTATTTTTTATTATTTTATTAGGAATTAAAATATTTTAATAGCTATAAGGGTATAATTGTCCAAGGTACACATAATTAGTCCTATGCAAACATAGTTTATTTTTTGGTCCTATTTGTGAAAAGTGAATGACTTTTAGTCCTATTTTGATCATTAACTCTAGTTCAAACCATTGATCTACTAAAATAATATTTTGTATCATAAAACTTGACCAAAGTTTATTTACAAAGTAAGATTGTGTGATTAAGATATCTGCAGAGGAAAGATATATAGTTTTAATCATATATTTATTACTTTAAATGAAAATGATAAAATAATTTGGAACAACTAAATAAGTAAACTTTATAAAGTTTTATATATGGAACGAAAAGAAGTAACAAATACAACTATAATGAAAACAAAATGATTGGATCATAAACTCAAAGTCATTCAATCCCATTGCATTGAGCTGGGGGATTAAGAGTTTATCCAATTCGGGTGTCATTTTGAATCGATATATTCACCGTCCAGAGATAAATGCACTAATAAATGAGACATGAATTCTTGTATTATACATCTGGTGATGTATCGCTCTGACCACTCCATTTTAGTTAGACTTTCACATCCTTATTTTTTGAGAGAATTCCCCAAATAAGAGTAAATCATAAGCAAAATGCAAAAATAGGAGTCCAATATTTTGAATAAGAGTAACTTTAGTGTTTGGACAAGTATACCCAAGCCCCAAGCCCCAACAACTTTCATTAATAATTAAAACATAAACGAAATACTCCGTAAGATTAATTAATTTATAAAAAAGTTGTAAAAAAACAAAAAAAAAACACAAAGAAATATCAAATAATAAAATATACTCCGTATTAAATAAAATAAAAAATTGTTAAAATAAAAAAGACAAAAAATAAAAACTAAAAAAATTTAAAAACAAATAAAAAAAAAATATGTAGGCGTCTGCTGCCGCCTCAACAACCTCCTAGCATCATCAGCTCCGATCACCGAAAAAATGCCAACATTTTTTCAAAATACCATCAAGATGGCAGATTTTGAGAAAATTTGGCATTTGCAAAGAGTAAAATTGCCATCCTTATGGCATTTTCAAAGAAAAATGGCAGTTTTTACATAAAATGGCATTTTTTCACCGATTGGAGGTGAAATTGCTGGGTGATGACCGAGGCTGCGGGAAAGGCCTGCATAATTTTTTTTATATTTTTATTACAGTTTATCTATTTTTTATTTATTTTTAAAGTTTTTTATTTTTACAAAAATAACTTTTTTAATTTTACTATGTTAAAATTTTTGGAATGAACTTAGATTATTTTTAAAATTAAATGGCCTGCATAAAGGTATCGTTTCCAGTGAATGAACTTAGATTTTTTAATAGGATCAAATAAATCATATCTTAGAATTAACTAGGTTAGGGATATTAAGGGTACAAAATTAATGTTTACTCCTATTGAAGGAAGTTTTAAGTTTTACTCCTATTTGTGCAATTATGTTTATGTTTACACCTATATTGGGCAATTTCTCTTATTTTTTCTGAAGTATTATCAAAACATCATAAAGAATACAATTAAAAAATAAAAGCAAAAATATAGCTCTTCACATGTTCAAAATATATTGTTATATTCAAGCTATTTAGAATACACATTATATATTATTAGGGGTACGCATATTTAATTGAAAATTCAATCATTGCTTCTTTCGATTACTACTTGCTGATTGGTGCTTTGCCACGCTTTTGGATGTTTGGGTTATATATCTATCTTTAGAAGATTAATGTGGCTAGGTTGATTTGCTAATTGCCTATACAAACTTGGTACATGCAGACTGCGTTGCTTAAAAAGAACTACTTTGCGGGTTTGTATCAACCTCGTAATGATATTTTAAATTTTTAATTACTGGATATGAACTTCATCAATTCACAAAAAGTAAAGCTTGTTCTAGGAAACACGATTTTATGATGACTAAGGATGCTTTTATTTGGACTGAAATTTGTTGGTTTGATTTGATCTAGTCTATTCTGGTCCGGCCTGGTCTGTTTAAGTTTGATCTTGTCTGATTTGAAATAGTCTCGTCTGACTACCCTGACCCCTCTTACCTCCGCTCTGCTTGTGGTTGGTTAACTATTTATAACTACGATCGAGAGACAAAGATATTCATCAACAATATTTCAAAACTTACGTATATTTCAAAACCGTAAGCTAATCGAAACTTGTAGATCCTAATAATGTATTTATTAATACTCCCGTTGAAAACTTTTCTCATGTTGCACCTGGTCTAAAAACATAGAACCAGATTTCTTGAGCCTATCTAGCAAAAAGAGGTTTAATTGCAAGATTTTCTTGTCCATGCAAAAAATAGAACCAGATTTCAATACATTTTTCTAATGTATTTATTAATACTCCAAACTTGCCCTTAGTACTCATGTTGCACCTGATCCGGTCTGACATCGACGGTTGGTCCAATGTGGAAGTCGCATTTTAGATAGGCTCAAGAAATCTGGTTTTATTTTCAGCACATCAAATGTTTCTCATGACTGTATTTCATGCCATTTAGGCAAACCTCAATGTTTACCTTTTCAGGAAAATTTTCATAAGTCTACAGTGCCGTTATATATGATTCATTCAAATGTGTGGCAATCTCCTGTTTTATCTGAATCTGGATTTAAATATTATGTTCTCTTTGTTGATGATCTTTCTCGCTTTACTTGGTTGTATTCAATGCGCCGTAAAGATGAAGTCATTCGTCACTTTCACAATTTTAAATTAATAGTGGAGACTTTACTAGACCGTAAGATTAAAATTTTTCAAAGTGATGGCGGGGTGAGTTTGATAATATTGGTATGCGGATGATAAGTCCATTTTTGTACTTTTTTTCTTATCAAAATTAAGCGATTTTTGGATAAAAACAGAAAAACAAGGCATGTTTTAGATATTTTGGTTCAAGTTTCATGAATTCAGATGAAAATCACATTCATAATATGTTTGGTGAAATTTCGGGTCAATTGAGCACAAAATGGGTCAATTTGAGTAACAAATGAATCCATATCGAAAGAAGAAACAGAATATCAAGGTGGTCCAGAAGGAAAATTTGAAGAGCAGAAAATAAGGAACAAGCATGTGGAAATTATCTGTAGGCATCCAGTAGGCACCCAATATGACAGCCTAACTGGCCGCCTATGGCTAATTTGGAAAGTCAAAAGTCCGACTTTGACCGGAACCGGAAAAGACCGAAGGCTGCCGACACTTGACGATAAGCGGCCGCCCTTTGTGACAACCTGCGGCACAAGACGACGGAGCCAACGACTGACCGATGTGAAATGACGGAAGGCGGCCAGACAGAAACGGCAAACGGCTGTCTACCATGATCGCCTGCGGCGAAGTGACGCATGGCACGATCCGTTGCCGGCGAAAAGACGACAAGCGGCCGGTTTAGAACGAAGGGCGGCCTCCCTTTGGACCGGCTGGGAGGTTTTTTGTGCTATAAATAGCATGCTTTTGCTCAACTCAAACACACCATTCATAACTCTAATCTTGTTCGAAAAGTTCCATTTCTTTAGCTAATTCCGAGCTCCAAAAGCTAGTAGAGAGAGAAAGCTTCAATCCTCCATAACTTCTTCATTTTAGCTTCAAATTGTAAGTTCTATATATGCATTTTTATCCTTTCAATCTTTAGAATTTGAATATTCAACTTGTTTGTTCGATCTGTTCTTAGAAAATTTCCAGATTATTTATCAATTGTTTTGCATTTTTTTCCAAAATTTAAATAAAATAGTTGTTGATGTTGAATCCATTCCAATTAATTATATAGTTGTTTACTAGTATCGAGGTTGTTATTTATCTGAAGAAAGTTAATTTTCACGAAGCAGAAGTAATTTTTAATTAATTTCAGTAATTAGTTGTTATTGTTGCATAAATTAAATTAATTACTCAAAAATAGAAAAAATATAGTCATGGTCCTAAATCTGTTTAATCTACTTTGATATAAATCCCAGTAGTTAATAGAAAATTTTGAATGAATTTATCCTATTTTTAATTGCCTTTTGTATTTTCTAGTTAATATTGGGAAAATTACTAATTAACTATTAAAATTGGATCTTAGGTTTATAAATCAGTGAAAAAATCCAGAAGGTCATATTTTAGTTCCAGAAGGTTTATTTTGGCAGAATCTTATTTTTGTTTAATTTTTGCTATTGTAATGTTTAGTTGCTTGTTAATGTTTAATTTATTTACTATATTGTAAGGAATAATTGTAATTAGATTTTGATGATG